CTGCCAGATCTGACTTCTAATAGTTTGTTTTATTAAATAAATTTCTATCTATGTTCATACTTTTTTCTTCTATTATCTTTATCTAGTTTTAGTATTAGCACAATTTTGATTTCCTAAAATGAGGGGAGAAGTGTTTCTTCTTTTTTCTCTTTTAAGTGTTTGATATAATTTATCAGTTAAAATGTATATGAGCCTGTGTTGTCATATAGGTAGGTTTTCAAGCTAGGAATAAACTTTCTTTAATAGGTGCTATTCAAATTTTATATTTCCTCCAGAGTTAGCTTCATTAATTTGTCTTCCAAGGTACCTCTTAGAAGTTATCAAATTTATTTCAAAACAGATTTTTGAAATATGCTTTCTGTATCCTTTTAAATTCTGTAAAATCTGTGGTAATGTCTCCTAGATCTTGATCCTGTAATTTTAAAAATGTATAATTGATATTGTGTAATAGGAAGAAAAGGTCTAAAGGAGCAGAGGAAGTGGGAGAGGTAGGGAAAAGGAAAAAAGGGAAAAGAAAAAATATGAGAAAAGGAAAAAATGGAAACAAAGTCTATGTAAATAGGGAAGGGTGGAGGGGCTGAAGGGAGGGCACAGGAAGGGGAAAAAATAAAAACCAAGATACTCATGTAATGGTACAAGATCCCAATGATGAATGTAACTGTATTTTATACCTAAAATGTACCAATAAGCTTAATGCGAAAAGAAAAGAACACAGATTCTGGCCAGCCTGTGAAAAAGCTGAGGCTCCTGTCCTAATGGTTCTGAGTTGGCTACTTTACTTCTAGTGTCACATCTGCAACAGGAGGAAGGAGGGAAGGGCAAAGAAGGAAAGGTGCATAGTGAATGTATCTTTCTTTTTTTCAAGAAAGTACTAAAAGCAGCAACTTTTCTGAAAGTTCCACTCAGTAGCCTACAAATTATTTCTCACTGGCTGCAAATTAATCATAGGAATGCACCATCTGCAAGGGAATCTAGGCAGTTAAATATTTTTGAACAAGTACATTTATTGTTCTGAACAAAATCCAGGTCCTGATGGTAAGGAAGGAGGAAAGAGTGGGTATGGAATAGGTGAGCAGCAGTGTCTGCCAACTTGCTTTTCCAGCATGTCCCTGGCATGTAGCTTTCCTCTCTTTTTAACTCTCTGAGCATGTAACCATACCCCCATACAACCACAAATCTAACTCCAAAATCATCCTACAAGTAACTCAGAGTTTGCTGAAGGTTTTTGAAAGAGGTGGAGGAGGACTTAATTACACAGCAGAGCTCTCCAGAAGGCCTCTTTTGTCATTTCCCATTTTCCCTCGCAGTTCTTGTCCCTTTTCTGCATACGTTGTTCTTTCCTTACCTTGCTCCTCTGTCTCCAGCCATGCTCAAGTCTACCTTCCTCTCCACCTCTTTCTGAACTTCCATCAGCCTGTGTCCTTCTCAGCACAATAGGAGCTGGTGACCAGCCACCCAATGCTCTGCTATCATCCCTCTGGAAGTTTGAACAGAGTGAGCCTGATTCTCCCAGGACTCTTGCCTCACTTCCTTTACTCTCCCCACACTGCCTCAAGTGGTTTGATGAGGAGTCTGGTCAGACACTGTGCCAAAGAGCTGCATCAGATGAATCTAATGAACACATTGCCAAGGTGTCCCAGCTGCATTCCCTCTGAAGATACCACGCTCTAGCTGATCCACCTCCTTAAAGATTGATGGGAGCCCTGAGCTGCTAGTTAAAAGTGAAGAGAAGAGGTCATAACATGGTCAAATTCAGCCCACAAAACAAATTCTCTTGGGTTTCACAGATTTGGTCCTCATCCTGTTTATTCATTGAAGTGAGTTATTTGTTAACCTTTAGAACTCCGGAGATTTTATGTAAAACTCAGATTTCAAGACTCTTTTTGGAAAAGTAGACCCTAGCTACTCTTCTGCAACCTGCCGCAGTTGCTAGTACTCTTCATTGTTTCACATATTACTCTTCTTACATGGCTCAGCGCTCTTCCAGTGGGTCATAACCTGCCTGTCATGTGTGTCTTCATTTCAGAACCTGACGGAAAATGACATCCAAAAGTTCCCAAAGCTCCGGGTGCCGTAAGTACCCCCTGCCTCTGTGGGTAGTTGGGGGAACAGAGATTAGAGTGGGAAGCAGTGCAGGGGAAAGCCAACTCGGTTGTACATTGCTACTGGTTTGAAGTAGGAAATCAAGTAAGGAAGGGTGAGATAAGGGGCAGTGTATAGTAAAGAGAAGTTAAATGATGAATTACAAAAAGGAAGTAACAGATCCAACCCAGCTGGTGGGTTTGCTGCTCTGGCCAAAGAGAAGCTCAACTGTATCACATTTTCACTTCCTGTCTTCCCAATGGGGTAGCTTGCACCTCTGAAAACAGTACCAGAGTCAAGAGACCTGAGTGTTCATCATTGGGCCATCATTGACTCAATGATGGCTTGAGATTTCTAGACCTCCATTTCCAGTTCAGTATAATGAGAGTTGAACCTGCTGAAGTATATCATGTTGTCTGCCAATACTGACTTTATAGAGATAGCTGCTAGGGTTGTGTTGAGTATAATCTTGAGGAGAGGGAGCAATGATTGATCACTGGTGTCTACTGTGGATGCAGAAATGGGAAGTTAAAGTATACATTTAGTGACGTGTTTTTCATTAGTCTAGTAAAGGTCTTACCTGCTCAAATCCTTACAGGAGCCAGGCAAGTGATGTAAATACGTAAAATGGACAGGTTGAAAACAGAAAGCCCTGTTGATTTATCTTTCATTTTACCACCTTTGAATAAACATGGGTAAGCTATAAGAAAAGTAATATGAGCCAGAATTTAGCTCAGTAGCACCGTGCCTGCCTCATAAGCCCAAGGTCCTGAGTTCGATCCTCAGTACTGCAAAAAGAAAAAAAAAGAAAAGTAATATGATTATGATGATTTTTTCAAAAGTAACCAAAACAAAGCCTCGGTGTTGGTGAAACAACAGGGAGTGGGCAGGTTGTGGCAGTCAGATATCATGTGTTCTAGTCAGAGGACAGCAGGTACTAACTCCAACCAGTGTGAACTCAATGATCTCCAATCTTTGAATTTATCACGAGTAACTAGAAATATGGGTTTTATGTGGTATATCTGTTAAGTGTTAGTTCAACTGTCTTTAAATATTGTGAAACCCAAGTGAATATACCTGTGAGCTAAATTTACTTGGGGTGGTACCAGTTTGTTTTTGAGTGCTGGGGACTGAACCCAGAGCCTCATGAATGCAAGGCAAGAACTCTACTACTGAGCGACATCTCCAGCCCTCTGGGTGTTATTAGTTTGAAACATCCATTTTAGACATTTTCTGAGGTTTCATCTCTTGTTCTAAGGGACTCGGAACTCATAATGATAAAAAAAAAAAAAAGTAGGCCAAAGGAATAAGAGGCTGGAGGGTCTCATGAGTGGGTAGGAAAACCAGAGTAGCTCAATTAAGAAACATATTTAGAGTGGCTATTAGGTTTCCCTTTTCCAGAAGGGTGAAGGAAAAGAGAGGAATAAGGATTTGCTTTGGAGCTGCCTATCTCCAGGGACCAGTGTTGGTGAAGTTGGGTTGGTCTTTCTAAGAATTTTCTCTAACCACATTTGGACTTTTTAAACTTAAATTACATTTAAAATCCAATCCCATAAAAGCACTAGTCGCACGTGCGCGCGCACACACACACACACACACACGATGACTATAGTCCTTCCTTATTCATGTTTTGCTTTCTGTGATTTCAGTTACCCATGGTCAACTGCATCTGAAAATATAGTAACAATAAGATATTTTGAGGGAGAGAGAGAGACAGACAGATAGACACTGATCATTCACGTAATTTTTATTATAGTATATTTTGATAATTGTTCTGTTTTGTTATTAGCTATTTTTGTTAATCTATTGTGCCTAATTTATAAATTAAACCTCATCATATGTGTGTGTGTGTGTGTGTGTGTGTGTGTGTGAAAAAACATGACACATATAAAGCTCAGTACCATCCATCCATGGTATCAGACATCTACTGGCCATGTTGGATTAATCCACTGATAAATTTAGTGCCCCCAGGAGCCAAGCCCCATCTCTGAACACATGAGACTTTTGGGGGGACACTTTAAATCAAACCAAACAGGCCCAATTTAAAAAAAAAATGTTCCAGTCCTACCTAGAAAATCCTGAAAACAAGATTCAAAGGAATCAAACTTTCCAAGTAACTTAACTACATCCTCAAACAAAAGTATAAACTGAAAAAATATGTATAGTAATGCAAGAATATTCATTATCTAACAAAGCAAAATGTACAGTGTTAGAATCTAATTAGAGAAGAACACATATACAGAACAGCAGGAAAATATGACTCATAATAAGGGGGAAAACCACTATATCAAAATTTGACCCATGAATGACACAGATATTAGCATTAGCAGACAGGGTCAATATAATTGTGTTGCATGTGTTCAAAAAGTTGAGGCACAGCAGCTATAAAAAGACCAAACCAGAGCTTCTAGAGGTGAAAAATATCTAAGTATAATATTTGAGATGATAAATACACTGCTTGGGATTGATAATAGATTTGACATTGCAGAAGAAAATGTTAGTAAACATAAACATAGCAATAGAAACTAATCACAATGAAGCAGAGGGAAAAATTATAATGAAAAGAGCATCAGGAAACTGTGGGGCCACTTAAAATAGCCTGATATAAGTATGATTAAAGTACCCAGCCCAGCACAGTGCTGCTTGGATATAATCCGAGCACTGTGGAAAGCTAAGGCAAGAGGATCACCAGTTTGAGCCCAGCCTTGGCAATTTAGTGATTTAGCAAGACCCTATCTCAAAATAAAAAACAGCTGGGGTTGTACCTTAGTGCAAAGGTCAATTCCCAGTGCTACTGAAAGAAAAAGAAAGAAAGGAAGGAAAGAAAGAAAGAGAGAGAGAAAGAGAGTTTCCAAAGTGGAGTAAAAGAGTATGTATATAAAGAAGGAAAGAAGAGACAAAAATAACCTATTTGATGAAATGACTAAAAATTTTCCAAGGTGAATAAAAACAAATTCATAGATTCAAGAAGCTCAGCAAACCCTAAACCTAAGAAACAGAAAGGAAACTACCCCTAAGGCATATTTTAATCATATTGTTCAAAATAATTGATTACAAATAAATGATATGGAAAAAAAATCTTAAAATAAGTCAGAGAGGAAAAACAAACATTGCATGCAGAAGAACAAATATAAGGATGCTAACAGCTAGTCAGAAATAATGCAAATGAGAAGACAGTGAAGCAATATTTTAAAGTACTAAAAGAAAAATATTGTCAACCTAGAGTTTAATACCCCAAAATACCTTTCAAAACTGAAGATAAGATAAAGATTTTTTTCAGACATATAAAATGTGAATAAATTTATCACCAGTGTTGACTTGCCCTACAATAAACATTTTTTGAAAGTTCTTAAGGCCAAAGGGAAACAATACCAGATGTTGATCTGGGTCCACCCAAAAGAATGAAGAATGCCAGAAATGGCAACTATTTGGGTCTCTATATATGTACTTGGCTTTTGAGGAGATTTGAATTTACATTTCCTTGACCCTATACAAATTTAGAACATCATTTGAACTGGTACTGGATACTTACTATGTGGCAGGCCTTGGTTAAGTACCCAGCTACAAAGATAAAGGACAGAATGCCCATCCTCAAGACACTTACAGTCTAATGGGAGAATTGGACACACAGCCAAAGCAATTGCTGGTGGTTTAGCTCAGTGGTTCTGCTGCCTGCCCTGGAAGCGCAAGGACCTGAGTTCAATCCCTGGTACCAAAAAAAAAAAAGTTATTGAGACAACTAAAGCAGTTATACTCCATACACATCTGCAGGTACAAGTTCAATGGGAGTGGGGAGGCATAAGTGTTTCCCTGTGGTGTTCAGGGAGAACATGTGGGAAGAAGGAGCTTAGCTAAATCTTGAAATATGCCAGGAGTGATCAGATGCAGGATGGATGGCACAACATTCTAGGAGTCGGGAGCATATTACAAAGCCACAAGACACCAGTATATTTGGTGGAGTGAACTATGGGTCAGAAAGGCTGAGGGATGCACAGGGAAGTGGAAAACAAAGAATCTAGAACAATGGTGGCGAACCTATGGCATGCATGCTGCAGCCAGCTGTTTGTATCATCGAAAGCTCTAAAAGGTTTGCCATCACTGGCCTAGAATGTCTTGTAGTTATGTGTGGGTCACAGTTTGTAAAGGTTCTGTGAACCGTGGAAGGAGTCTAAGAGTGTTAGTGAAGTGTGTGCAGCGAGGGAGAGTATCAAGGTAGATGTGTATCTTGAATCTGCCCCAGGAAGTATAAAAGATGACTTGGACGAGGGCTCAGCTGGAGTTATGGGATCAAGGTAGCTGGTGGGAGTCATGGTCCCATTAAAGACATAGGAACTCCCCTAGGGCTGTGGCTATCAAGATGGAGAATTTAATCAGAGCAATAGAAGAATGGAGATAAAGAATGCACTTTCAACTTGGAAGGTCCTTTTTCATCTGAAGGCTCATTTGAGCTAATATCCTTGACTATGTCTGAGTGCAAGGAGAAGCGGGTGGAGATGAGAAGTAGCTGTGAGATAACATAAAGGGAGAGTTGGTACTGGTGTTGCAGGTGGGGCAGGGGTGGGATATCTCTTTAGCTACTTGAAAAATGAAACAAAAACTTGGTCTATGGCACTATGTTTAAATGTATACTCCAGATAAACCACGAGGGCAGGCCATGTAACATGGAGGGTAACATGGGGGATGACAGGGAGTCCTGATTAGGTAACTCGGAGAGTTATTCTCCCTTTAGAAGAAACATACACAAATACTAACTCCACCTCTCCTAATGTGCTAAGTGACCTCAGTTTCCCAGACAATAAAAGATAGAGAATCATTTACATGGACAATAGGGGCTCATTAGCTTTAAAATACCACTTTAGGTATAAACAGACAGACAGGAGAGCATAGTGAGAAATGCAGACTCTGACATCAGACTACTTGAAACCTAATTTTTCCATTCATGAACTACAGATTGTGGACAAGTTAGCTCAGCTTCCTCATCTATAAAATGG